TTTTGTGATAGCTTATTTTTCTCGTTCTGTGAAGGATGCTATGGTTATTTTGACTGGGATTGCATTGGACTTTAAATAGCTTTTGGAAGGATGGTCATTTTCACAATATTAGTTCTTCTGACCCATGAAAAGATTTAAGAAATATTGACTGTAGTTCTATGAAAGTCTGACAGAATTCTTTGGTTTTACGAGACAGGGTTTCTCTGTTTTGGAGGCTGTCGGTCCAACCTGGCCTCGAACTCACAGAGATCCGCCTGCCTCTGCCTCCCGAGTGCTGGGATTAAAGGCGTGCGCCACCAACGCCCGGCTCTGATAGAATTCTTGTGGGAACCTATGTGGGCATGGAAATTTTTTTAGCTAGAATTTTTTTTTTTACTATTCTAAGCTCCTCCTTTGTTATGGGTCCTGTTAGATTGTTGGTCTCTTCTTGGTTTAACTTTGATAGATTGAAAGAATCAAGAATTTCATTCATTTTTATTTGTGTTTAGATTTCCCAACTTAATGGATTATAGATTTGTAAATCATTACATTATAATATCCTGTATTTCTTTGGTGTATATCATAATGTTTCTCTATTCATTTTTATTATGTCAAGTTGAGTCATCTCTTTCATTTGGTTAGTTGGATCAAGAGTCTGTCAATTTTGTGTCTTCTCGCAAAGAACCAACTCTTAGATACTTTGGTTCCATGAATTGTCTTATTTGTTTCTATTTCATAGAATTTTGCTCTGATTTTAATTATTTTTTGCCATTGACTGGGTTTGGATCTGATTTGTTCTTGTTTTCTCCAAATTCTTGAGTGGTAGCAAGTCACTTGCTTGTGCCCTTTCTGATTTTTTATGTAGGCACTTAGGGCTAGAAACTTCTTTCCTTCTTAGAGCTACTTTCAGTGTGTCCCAGAAGTTTTGTGTTGTGCTTTCATTTTTTACTTAGTTCCAGGATTTTCTTTTGTTTTGTTTTTTCAAGACAGGGTTTCTCTGTGTAGCTTTGTAGACCAAGCTGACCTCAAACTCACAGATATCTAACTGCCTCTGCTTCCCAAGTGCTGGGATTAAAGGCATGAACCACCACTACCCGGCTAAATATTTTTATTTCTTTGTTGTTTTCTTCTTTGACTCTTTCATCATTCTGTAATTGCCACAGGTTTACTGGAATTTTGTTTGCTGTCAATTATAAGATTTACTGTATAATGGTCAGATAGGGCACCTGGAATTATTTAAGTTTTCTGTATTTGCTAAGATTTGTTTTGTGTCCCAACATATGTTCTATTTTAGAAACACTTCCGTGTGCTACTAAGCAGAAGTTATATTCTCTGGTGCTTGGATGGGATGTTCAGGAGAGGTCTGTTAGGTCCGTATGTTGTAAGATGTCACTTAACAATGAGGTTTCTATGTTTACTTTTTGTCCAGGTGCCCTCTATCTATTGGAGAGAGTGGGGTATTTGAAGTTACCTATTGCTGGGTTTGTATTAATCTGTGTTTTTAATTCCTTTGTGCTACTTTTTATGAAACTGGATACACCAGAGTTTGATGCACATATGTTTAGGTCAGTGATGTGGTTTAGGTTAATTGTCACTTTGATTAGAACGAAGTGTCCCTATGGCCTCTTCTGATTAGTTTGAGTTTTAAATATGTTTTGTCAAATATTAGGATTACCATGCCTGCTTGATTCCTGATCCCACTGACTTGGAATACTTTTTCCCATGCTTCCACTTTATGGCTAAGATGGGTTTCTTATAGACGACAGAAAGATGAATTTGTTTCTTAATCTGTTCAGCTAGCCTGTGTCTTTTAACTGGGTAGTTGAGGCCATTGATACAGTTATTGCCGAAAGGTGTGTGTAGATTGCAGTCATTTTTTTTTCTGGTTTGCTTAGTTGTGCTTTATATTCCATTAATCGTGGCTTTGTTTTCTTTCTAGACTATCTTGGCTGTGTCTTTTCCCCTCTTTGGTTCTAAGTGTTACTCTCAGTATTCTGTTTAGTTGGTTTCTGTTGTTGGATTTGTTTTCCTTTATACCTGGTAATGGCAAATGGTTTTGCTGCGTGCAGTTATCTAGGTTGGCAGGTGTGGTCATTTAGGACTTTGAGTGTATTACTCATTTTTTCTGGCTCTTAGAATTCCCATCAGAATCAGCTACTATTCTGATAGCTTTCCCTTTATATGTGATTTGTGGTTTTTCCTCTGTTATCTATTAAAGTTTTTTCTTTGTCCTGTGTATTTAGTGTTTTGACTGTGATATGCCATGAGGAGCTTCTTTTCTGGTCTTGTCTAGTTGGGGTTCTGTATGTTTCTTGCATATGATCTTCTTAAAGATCTGATCTGTGTCATTAACCTGGGATCCTTCTCCCTCATCTATGCCTATAATTCAAAGGATTGACCTTTGGATAGTGTCCCATTTCCTGCAGGTTTCTTTCCTGTGCTTCCTTAAATTTTTCCATATTCTTTGCTTATTTGATCTAGATCCTCTACTTTATCTTCAGGTCCTGATATTCTGCCCTCTGCTTTCTTTATTCATTCTTCTTGTCTTTCCCCTGAGTTTTCTAATTGAGATATTTTTTCAATTCTATCTTCACTTCAGCTTGTTCTCTTTTCAATGTTGCTATATCTTTGTTAGAGTCAATGTTGAAATAGCCCCTGGATTATCTTTGTTATTTCATGCATGTATGTACTAGTATTTCACTTGACCACCACTCAGAAGTTTATTGTTATCCTCTTGGTGTTCAATGAAGTGTTTGTTCATACCTTCTTTAAATTCTTTGACTTATTCCATAAAGTTTATCAATGTCCTTTTAAATATTGTGTCCTGGGGTTCCTCTAGGCAGTTCTCATTGGAGAACACTTCTATAGGACTAGTGGTTTGGTGAGAGATGTGTGGTCTTGGTTACTCATGTTGGCTTTGTTTTTGTTATTTGGCCTGGGCTTATGGAGTTCTTTCTTTGGTTGTATGGCTGGTAAGACCATCTGCATGACTTTTAGTGGGCCGGTGAAGGGGATGCTTGTCCTGAGCAAGGCCAGAGAAAGATGCTTTATAAGCTATTTAATTGGACCAGGGAAGTCTCAAGCTTGTCCTGTGGGTGCATAAATAGCAATCGGAGAGGGGGGATGAGAGAAGAAAGGCGTGTCTTACCAATCAAACATGGCTCTCAAGGAAAGCAGGTTTGACAGCTGAGAATCCAGAACTAGCTCTCTAGTGTGGAGATGGTAGCGCTTGGGAGGGCTCATGAAAGGGTGGGAAAGAGAATAAGCAACTTGCCTGGTGCAAGTGGTTCCTGAACAAACCTTGTTTTAGGCTATGGGTTTGGGGCAATCACAGGTGGGGGCAGCATGGGACAGGAAAGGGAAAAAGTGACTTACCTTGCAAAGGTTACTCGTGAACAAAATGGTTGCTGTCTCTTAATCTGATATGTGTTTTGTAAATGTTCCCCAGTGTGTGGCTTCTGCTCACTGTCTTCATAGTGCTTTCCATGAAAGCCAGTTTTCTTTTTTTGACTTTTTATTATTATTTTTATTTTTAAATTTAAATTAGAAACAAGGTTGCGTCACATATCAATTCCAGGTCCCTCTCCCTTTCCTCCCCTCCTCCTGTGCCCTCCCACCAACCCCCCCCCACCCCCTGCAATATCCCCTCATTTCCCCAGGGAGAGTGAGGCCCTTCATGGGGGTGTCCATAGTCTGTCATTTCATCCAGGGCAGGGCCTAGACCCTCCCCAAGAGTCCAGGGTGAGAGTGCATCTCTCATGAAAGCCAGATTTTGTCCCTCCCATCTGCCTGTCTTTCCTGCCATACCAAGAAACAGCTGTCAAAATCAATGTTATAAAGCTTTCTCTGGGTTTTCTTCCTGAGAGGTTTTTTTCAACTATTATTATTATTTTATTGTCGTCGTTGTTACTTTAGACTTATTATTATTTTATTTTTATTATTTTAGGCTTTGCATATAGGTATGCTGCATATAGATATGCTAAGTAAGGCCCTAACTTCATATTTTTCTTATTGATACCTAGTTTTTCCTGTAGCCAAAACAAAACTGTCTCTTCCTCATTGAGTTGTCTTGGCAATTTCATCAAAAATTACATGCCATCTAAGTGGCAGCTGACTTGTGGGTCCCCTGCTCTCTCAGTGGTCCATAAGTGTGTCTTTGTCCCGAACCATGCTGTTATCTACCAGAGATTTCTAGTACACAGAAATTTGATGTGAGAACTCCAGTTTTGTTCTTCTTTAGGACTGTTTTCTGACTATTAGGCTTCATTCTCTTGCACTTGATCTCTATTTTATTCTTCTGGTTTTTATTAAATAGCTCCAAAGATGCATTGCCTACAATAGCCATTTACAGAGAATTATTCAAAGGCTTCCTGTAATGAAAAAAATAGAAATTATTCATGCACAGTTAGCAAAAGTCCTGAAACATAATAATGTGCTACAATTATAAACAGGGCTGAGAAGCTTAAAACAACATTTAAGTGATCCCTGAGTGGCGGGAGAGATGGCCCGGGAGTCAGAAGTGCACATTGCTCATGTAGGACCTAAGTTCAGTTCCCAGCACCCATGTCAGGCAGCTCATTAACCACCTGTAACCACGGCCCCAGGCAATCCAATGCATATACCTAACACACAGGAACAGACACCTAGATATACTTAATTTTGAATAATGATAAAATAAATCTTCAAAGCACTTTTTTAAGAGGTAGAAATAAATCCTGGTGGTTGTACAGTGACCACCCCACTGTGTTGGAAGGGGTGGTCACTTTGTCATCCTTCATGTGCATACTGACTCATTAAGACTTTTTTCCTTTGGTTTTTCGAGACAGGGTTGCTCTGTATTGCTTTGTAGCCTGTTCTGGAGCTTGCTTTGTAGATCAGGCTGGCTTCGAACTCACAGAGATCAGCCTGCCTCTGCCTCCCGAGTGCTGGGATTAAAGGCGTGCGCCACCAACACCCAGCCCATTAAGACTTTTAGTTCCCACTGCTGATACATTGAACAATCTCTACCCTTTCTTTTCCAGAGTTCTCAGGGGCTAACTGGGTTCTCATACCTCCCCTGTGGCAGGAATGGGCCATTTCCAGCAGGGACAGTGCCATGTTAATCCAAATGCCTGAGTGCCACTCACATCCAAAGAGCAAGGAGTCTGAAAAGTAAGTTCTATGCTGGGGTCCTGGTGGCAGGGTGAGGGGGCTAACAACATATCCAAAGACCTCAGAGTCCTGAGAGCAGAGCACCAGGAGATGGGGGTCAGACACTGTGCAGCATGCTACCCTCCCACAGAAAGACATTGAATAGGTCAGAGATATCTTTGATGTTGCATCAGAATTTTACTGTAGAATAGCTTTATTCTTGAGAAGAACGTGACAGTGATGACTGACAAGTAGCATGGTGTACCCTAGTGCAAACTGGCATTTTCACTATTGCAGCTAAGATTAATTATGTGAATATTAAAAGTGTCAAAAGCAAAGAAAATGGGCCTTGTTGTCTTTTTTTTTTTTTACTTTAAATTTAGATTAGACACAAGGTTGCTTCACAAGTCAGTTCCAGGTCCCTCTCCCTTTCCCTCCCCTCCCCCCGTGCGTTCCCCCCAACCCCCCCCAATATCCCCTTATTTCCCCAGGGAGGGTGAGGCCCTCCCTGGGGGTGTCCATAGACTGCCATTTCATATAGGGCAGGGCTTAGACCCTCCCCCAAGAGTTCAGGGTGAGAGTGCATCTCACATTGGTGGATAGGAGTCCAAAGTCCGTGTGTATACTCCGGATGAGTACTGATCTACTGCCCAAGGCTCAATAAATTACCTAGGCCTCCTCACTGACACCCCCATTCAGGGGGGCTTGATCAGTCCCATGCTGGATTCCCAGGCTGATGCCTGGGATTCAAGAGTTAACCTTTGTCAGGTCAGCTGTTTCTGGGGGTTAAACCAGCCCAGTCTTAATCCCTTTGGTCATCAGTCCTCCCATTCTGTTACTGGCTTTCTTGAGTTCAGCTCAGTGCTTAGCCATGGGAGTCTGCCTCTTCTTCCATCAGCCACTGAATGAAGGTTCTGTTTCCCAGACTCTCTGGCCATGGGATTGTAGGCTGGCACTCCCCAGATCTATGTCTAAAATCCATATATGAGAGAGTACATGCCATGTTTCTCTTTTTATGACTGGGTTACCTCACTCAGGATGGTTTCTTCTAGTGTCATCCATTTGACTGCAAATCTCAGGATTCCATCGGTTTTTTTTTTCTGCTGAATAGTACTCCATTGTGTAAATGTACCACATTTTTTCTATCCACTCTTCGGTTGAGGGACATCTAGGTTACCAAGTTCTGGCTATTACAAATAATGCTGCTATGAACATAGTGGAACAGACATTCTTGTTGTATGAATGGGCGTCTTTTGGATATATGCCTAAGAGTGGAGTTGCTGGGTCTTGTGGTAGGTTTATTCCCATTTTTCTGAGGAATCTCCATACTGATTTCCAAAGTGGCTGAACCAGTTGGCACTCCCACCAGCAATGGAGGAGTGTTCCCCTTTCACCACATCCTCTCCAGCATAAATTGTCATTGGTGTTTTTGATATTAGCCATTCTGACAGAAGTGAGATGGTATCTCAGAGTTGTTTTCATTTGCATCTCCCGGATGGCTAAGGATGTTGAGCACTTTCTCAAGTGCCTCTCAGGCATTTTAGACTCCTCTATTGAAAATTCTCTATTTAGTTCTGCAGCCCACTTTTTAATTGGATCCTTTGGTGTTTTGGAGACTTGCTTCTTGAATTCTTTGTAAATTTTTGAGATCAACCCTCTGTCACATGTGGGATTAGTGAATATTTCTTCCCAATCTTTGGGCTGCCTTTTTGTCTTGATGACTGTGTCGGTGTTGCCTTACAGAAGCTTCTCAGTTTGAGGAGGTCCCATTTATTAATTGTTGATCTCACTGTCTGTGCTAGTGGTGTTATGTTCAGGAAGCTATCTCCTGTACCAATTCATTCAAGGGTACCACCCACTTTCTCTTCTAAGAAGTTCAGTGTGGCTGGATTTATGTTGGGGTCTTTGATCCATTTGGATTTAAGTTTTGTGCATGGCAATAAACATGGATCGATCCGCATTCTTCTACATGCCAGCCTCCAGTTATGCCAGCACCATTTGTTGAAGATGCTTTCTTTAATCCATTGTATATTTTTAGCTTCTTTGTCAAAGATCAGATGTTCGTACGTGTGTGGGTTAATACCCGGATTTTCAATTCGATTCCATTGGTCTACCTGTCTATTTTTGTGCCAATACCAAGCTGCTTTCAAGACTATAGCTCTATAATAGAGCTTGAGGTCAAGGACAGTGATGCCTCCGGACGTTGCCTTGTTGAACAGGGTTGTTTTGCCTATCCTGGGTCTTTTGTTTTTCCATACAAAAATGGTTATTGTTCTTTCAAGGTCTGTGAAGAATTATGCTGGGATTTTAATGGGGATTGCACTGAGTCTGTAGATTGCTTTGGGCAGGATTGCCATTTTTACTACGTTGATCCTACCTATCCAAGAGCATGGGAGATATTTCCATTTTCTGAGGGCTTCTTTAATTTCTTTCTTTAAAGATTCAGAGTACTTGCGATACAGGTCTTTCACTTGTTTGGTTAGCGTTACCCCAAGGTTTTTTATGTCGTTTGGGGCAATTATAAAGGGTGATGTTTCTCTGATTTCTTTCTCTGCCCTTTTATCATCTGTATATAGTAGGGCTACTGATTTTCTTGAATTGATCTTGTAGCCTGCCACTTTGCTGAAGGTGTTAATCAGCTGTAAGAGTTCCCTGGTAGAGTTCTTTGGGCCATTGATGTAAACTAACATATCATCTGCAAACAGGAAACCTCTTCCTTCCCAATTTGTATCCCCTTGATCCCCCTTTGTTGTCGTATGGCAATGGCTAGAACTTCAAGTACCATGTTGAAAAGGTATAGAGAGAGTGGATAGCCTTGTTTTGTTCCTGATATTAGAGGAATTGCATTGAGTTTCTGTCCATTTAGTTTGATGTTGGCTGTATATAGCTTTTATTATGTTTAAGTATGTCCCTGTTATCCCAGATCTCTCTAAGACCTTTATCATGAAGGGGTGTTGGATTTTGTCAAAGGCTTTTTCAGCATCTAGTGAGATGATCATGTGATTTTTGTTTTTCAGCTTGCTTATATGGTGGATTACATTGATGGATTTTTGTATCTTGAACCATCCCTGCATCCCTAGGATGAAACCTACTTGATCGTGGTGAATGATTGATTTGATGTGTTCTTGGATCTGATTTGCCAGTATTTTATTGAGTATTTTTGCATCAATGTTCATGAGGGATATTGGTCTGAAGTTCTCTTTCTTAGTTGTGTTTTGTGTGGCTTGGGTATCAAGGTTATTGAAGCCTCAGAGAAAGAGTTTGGCAAAGACCCTTCTGCTTCTATTGTGTGGAATACTTTGAGAAGAATTGGTATAAGCTGTTCTTTGAATTTCTGGTAGAATTCTGCACTGAGGCCATCTGGACCTGGACTTTTTTTGGTTGGGAGACTTTTGATGACTGCTTCTATTTCCATAGGGGTTATAGGTCTATTTAAATTGCTTATCTGTTCTTGATTTAGTTTTGGCAAGTGATAGCTATCCAGGAAGTCGTCCATTTCCTTTAAATTTTCAAATTTTGTGGAGTACAGGTTTTCAAAGTATGACCTGATGATTCTCTGAATTTCCTCAAAGTCTGTTGTTATGTCCCCCTTTTCATTACTGATTTTGTTAATTTGCATGTTCACTCTCTGCTGTTTGGTAAGTTTGGACAAAGGTTTGTCTATCTTGTTGATTTTCTCAAAGAACCAACTCTTCATTGCATTGATTCTATGTATTGTTTTCCTAGTTTTTACTTTATTGATTTCAGCCCTCAACTTGATTTTTTCCTGGCATCTACTCCTCCTGGGGGAGTTTGCTTCTTTGTGTTCTTGAGTTTTCAGCTGTGCTGTTAATTCTCTAGTATAACTATTCTCCAGTTTCTTCATGTGAGCACTTAGTGCTATGAACTTCCCCCGTAGCACTGCTTTCAAAGTGTCCCATAGGTTTGGGTATGTTGTATCTTCATTCTCATTGAATTCTAGGAAGTCTTTAATTTCTTTTTTTATTTCTTCTTTGACCCAGGAATGGTGCAGTTGCGCATTATTCAATTTCCATGATTTTGTAGGTTTTCTGCAATTTGTGTTGTTGTTGAATTCTAATTTTAATCATGTGGTCTGATAAGATGCATGGAGTTATTCCAATTTTTTGATGCTGCTGAGGTTGGATATGTTGCCAAGTATGTGGTCAATTTTTGAGAAGTTCCACGTCATGGTGAGAAGAAGGTATATTCTTTTTTATGTGGATGAAATGTTCTATAGATGTCTGTTAATCCCAGTTGGGTCATTACTTCTATTAGACCCTTTGCTTCTTTGTTGAGTTTCTGCCTGGTATTCCTGTCTTGTGGTGAGAGTGGTGTGTTGAAATCTCCCACTATAACTGTGTGGGGCTTTATATGTGATTTAAGTTTTAGTAATGTTTCTTTTACGAATGTGGATGCCTTTGTATTTGGGGTATAGATGTTCAGGATAGACACTTCATCTTGGTGGATTTCACCAGTGATGAATATGTAATGGCCTCCTTCATCTCTTTTGATTGATTTTATTTTACAGTCTAGTTTGTTAGATATTAGGATTGCTACCCCTGCTTGTTTCTTGGGTCCATTTGATTGGAAGATTTTTTCCCAACCTTTAACTCTCAGGTAATGTCTGTCTTTGAGGGTGACGTGTGTTTCTTATATGCAGCAGAAGGAAGGGTTCTGTCTTCGAATCCATTCTGCTTGCCTGTGTCTTTTTATGGGTGAGTTAAGGCCATTAATGTTGAGGGATATTAATGACCATTGATTGCTCATCCTTCAATTTGCAATGGTTGTTATTGGTGGAATTATGTGTGGAATTTCACCCCTTTGTTCTTTTGGCTGTTGATAGAGAGGGATTCTGTAATGCCTATGTTTTTCTGGTTGTAGTTAACTTACTTGGGTTGGAGTTTTTGTTCCAAAACTTTCTGTAGGGCTGGGTTAGTGGACACATATTGCTTGAATCTAGTTTTGTCATGGAATATCTTGTTTTCTCCATCTATAGTGATTGAGAGCTTTGCTGGGTATAG